CGGTCCTGGCCCGCCCCGCCTTCCCGCCCGGGCAGGGCAGCCCCGGCCCCCGGCGCCCTGCCCGCGGTCTGCTCCCCGCGGAGCGGTGCAGCCAAGCACTAGGAACCAGGAGGTCTGGCTGCGCCCTACCCCATGCCACTGGGCAACCGCCGACGCAGGGCCTCGCGGACTGAGCAGCGCTTGGCGTGCTGTTGAGCGAGGGGCGGCGGCAAGGACAGTGCGGGGCCGAGGCTGTTACCCGCTCTCCTGAGGGGACCAGGGCTCCTACTGCGCCCGGAGCCGCCAGCCCCACACGGCAGGGGGCGCTGCGAGGCGGAAACGCCAACGTCTCCAACAGTGCAAGGGACCAAGGAGGGGGCTTTCGGGACGAGGTCACACCAGGCACAGCCCCAGGCCTTACAGGGGCACACAGGGCCCGCCCAGAAGGCAGTCTGGGTCTGCCCCAGTGCCTCCTGGGGCCTGGACACGCCACCGGGGCCGGCCTGGGAGCTCCTGAGCTTGGCTGGAAAGCGTGGGTGACAAGGGTGTGTAGGCCGAGGTCACACCTGCCCTGCTCAGCCCTCCGTGCGCCCACACCCAGGTTCCAGCGCAAGTCCTCCCTGGGCGCAGCCGGCCACTGGACCTGCCCGTGCCCTCCCTACCCCCTCCGCGCTCCCCTGCAGCCTTCCTCCCACACGCAGGCCCTGCCCCAGGGCCTCTGCACGGGCAGCACCTCCACCTGGAACACCGTCCCTCAGGGAGGCCTCCCTGCCCCTGCTGGGGGACGCCCCTGGCACACCCCGTTTGTTCTCCATCTTGATGCCTCCGCTCTGTCCCGGGGGTCCCCGAGCCTGGCACACGCGAGGTGCTCCGTAGATGCCTTGGGGTGACCGCGCCCCGCCCGCCCCCGCCAGCGCCCACCTTGGGGTCATGGATGCCCGACAGCTCCTCGAAGGCCTTGTCACCCACCATGCCGGCAGCCAGGTTGGCCGTGTAGCTGGACAGCACCAGCAGGCAGAAGACGGCCCAGAGCGTCATGAGCAGGCGCGCAGTGGGGCACTTGGGCGTCTTGCTGCAGGCTGTGCGCCCGAACAGGATGGCATAGCACAGGCTGAGCGCCGACGAGTAGGAGAACACCGTGGCGCGGTTGCGGCCGCGTGGCGTCAGGCCGTAGGGGCTGCGCCACTCAAACAGCGTGAGGAACAGCGCCGTGAGGTGCAGCGCGGCGGCCACGCCCAGCCACGTGGCCCAGTGCAGCGGCCACATGGAGGCGCCAATGGGCGAGGCGGCGTCGCGCGCACGCACCAGGATGCCCAGGCTGGTGGAAAAGAAGGGGCTGGTGAAGTCCAGCACCTGCGAGCGCGCC